GAGATTTTTTCCAGTGTTTCACTATTCAATTAATATTTAATTTATGTTCAATAAACATTTACTGTCTCAGGCGTCATTTTCGCTTCATTGTTACGAGAAATGTATTTTATGTATTACTATTTTTGATATTTCTTCGAAAAATCCTAATTGTATTGATTTAGATTTTTTTCTCGCACACGATAGAATAAAGAGTTGTGTGGTTTACAATATTCCCGTGCTCACATTTCATCACATCCTTTTTCACTGAAAGGAGTAGAATTAAAGATAATAATAATAATAATAATAATAATAATAATAATAATAATAATAATAATAATAATAATAATAATAATAATAATAATAATAATAATAATAATAAAAATGCTATTTATATAGCGCTTATCCAATTCTGTTCTAAGCGCTTTAAAACTACATGACAACTACAAAACACATGAGAGTCTTGGTAGACTGTGAGCTTGATGCCGACTTGTTGGCGATAATGTCTCTTACAAGAAAAAAACATGCATAAAATATACTATATTGATATTTGCACAATATTTTACCAGATATGAAAGACAGCTTGAATTGATTGCTATCAGTGACATTATCTTCAGTCTCAAGTAGAGCAGGAGGACTGAGGGGAAAGCGGATCAATGTATAATTACACTAGATGAGATCGAGATCACTTCGGACACTTCTCGGACATGTATCGCGCTGGGGCTTCTCGGATACCAGGATCCACTGAAAATCACATCCAATAAACTTTTCAGTGATATTTGTTCGCAAAGTATTAGGCTATTTTAATTTTTTTCTTAGTACAAAGCAATATTGTAGTATTTGCTTAAAAGGAAGTTCATATCACTGACTCCTTTCACTAGTGCAATATTAATAAAAATAAACTTACAGACCGCTTACTAGGAATTTATTTGCTGATGAATAATTAACAGCAGCTGGATTTGCTAGTTTAGTTAAATAATCGATGTGTTCGAGACGTCGCAGAGAACAGCAAAATCGTACTTTTCACTGTGGAACTATTGGCCTTTGGATTGGCTTTTCTAAGTCACATCCAGTGGAAAAACCGTATTGACAACGTACTTTATCATTGAAAAGAACTTCAATTTCCACGCTTTTCTAAAAGTCACATAAATGTGTGTACATTTGACCCTGAAACAGTCTTTTTTTCGCTGCGCAATATAAAAAAGAATTGGTTGAAGACTTCGCATTTGGTAAAGGTGACGTAATTTCTTCTAATGATGCAAACAGGATCCATTTTCCAAGCTGCTACYWTRTTTTCGCTTTTGTATCTTCTTAAAGCCAACAAATGTCACGTTTCAATCAGCAATGTTGCTCTGAGTGGCCATGTGTTCGCTTCGTTTCATGCAGACAACATGCATGTTTGTTATGAACGATGTCTGGAGAAGATTGGCTGCTTGAGTATCAACTATTACAGGGATAGCTTTACATGCGAGCTCAATAACCGGACAATAGCAGTCAAGTCAAGAATGAAGGAGTTCAACTTTAATGCAGTTTACTTTGAGCGTGTAAAACCAGGTGGGGTAGACATTTTTACTGGGCTTTGTTCACAATATTGTTTTCTCGTACCGTTTTCTATTTCTCTCGATCTGAAGAAGTAATGCAAAAGATCCATGCAAATTCTCATCAGTGTTGACGAGGTCTAACTGTTTTTCTTAATGTTGCTAGGACYATTTCTTGTTGTTTTAATACCAAGAGTTTCAGTTCTATTTTGAGCTGGCACTATAATTAGAAGGTTAATTTTAATAATTATTCGTGTGTCTTGCACAAATGAGTGCGTTTTCTCTCCTGGCAATTTATTATGATCAACTTAATTACTTTTCCTTCGCAATTTCAGCTATTCAAGCTTGAAAATCATTGGTCGTTTGTTGAATTTTCTTACATGTAGTTAGATTTTCGATATTTTACTCATCCCAGAATTTTATTTGTTTAGGTGTGTTCGAATCAAGTGTCGAAGTTAATTTTATATCACATTTTGTGAAGTTCTCAATTTGGGATAAAGCGTTTATTTGTTTGCATGTCTCGTTAAAATGTTTTTCGTTTGGCTTGATAATTGATATTTATTTATTTTCATTTCTTTTTAATTGTTTTTTTTTTTTCCTTTTTCTTTTCGCTTGACCGCCCAAGAGGCCTCGGCATTTAAACATGCAAGCTGATAATAGGTATAAGAAAGTTTTTGAACGAGAACGTAACGTTTGAATTTTTCTAAGTGCAAGGTCGACATTTTACAATTTAAAATTACATTAAATAAGTCGGAAAATCACTCCTCAGAGAATTAATGTCGATATTATATCGACGCTGCAGTCGTGATCTTCCCCAGTTCAAGAATATAGGACATATATATCAAATGATTAAATTCGGTTAAGTCAATTTTCATTTTGGATGCCCGTAGCGTAATGTTTATTTAATTAACGAGTTCCTTTGACACAGGTGAAAAAATTGTCCCATTGTTTCCAACTATTATGTAACTAATTATTTCTTAGGTCTCATGAATTTAAATTAAATGTCAATTTTTTCGTAATTATAAGAAATTGAAGCGTTTCATACTTGTTGTTCACACTTTCACACGCTGAACATTTTTGAACGAACTTAATCTGTCGATTTTCCTCAGATGAACTGAAAATTTTGAAGATAATTGCCAGTTCTTTAAACAGAAAAATATAATGAAATGTTTTCTCGTTTTCTCAAAATCAGCTAGAAGAATTTCCTTGGTTCTGAGATATATTATTTGTTATATACCATAGTTTTTCGAAGTGCCATCGAAATCGGCCGGAAATCAGCTTTGTTTGAGTTCCTTCCTTCTTTTCAAAGTAAGACCTGCTATTTTTGCAATTAGTTAAAAATAACTGCATGTTTTAAAAATTTGCTAGTATAACTTTTTCTAACAGTAAAAAGATGATCTGATTTAATTATTAAAAAAACGTTTTCAACGGAGAGTAAATCGAATATATCTCGGAGCATGGAACTCAATAATAAATGTATTTATATTATAGCTCAATTCTAACACGCGCGCTGATTGGCGGATTTCATGAGAAAAGCTATGGTTTATTTCACCGCTAAACCAGACTGCTGTCTTGAAAGACTTTTGAATCTAAATGGTAGACGTCGGCTATAATATARCAATAAACGATAGCTTGAAGCGGTTTACTGGCGAAATAAACCGCTTGGGATAATAGTCTCCTTCACGGTTCTACTCGCCATCTTGAAAGTTAGCCGTGCCTTTGCATCGAAGCGAGATGGTTCGTTGAGAGTGCAATGATAGAAACCTTTCAGACAATTACAGGTAATTCACAAGTATCTATCATTGCATGCTCAACGGTTGTCTCGCTTCAATGTAAAGGCACGGCTTCCCTTCAAGATGGTGCAGGTAACGGTGAAGGAGACTAGATCTATGGGGAGAAAAGGTAAATCACTCGCCTGACGGCTCGACGTGATTTACGGATCTTTTTTCRTGTTCTCCCAACCAACCCGCGCTTTTTATCTCGTCAGTAAACCGCTTAAAGCTATAGTTTAATGCTTACGGTTACACGTTTCAAATTCCTTATGGATTTCTGATAACGATTCATATAACCTCTTTGTGATTCTATTGTAACAGAAGCTATCGGATCTCATGAGGAAATCCCMGCAGAATCCTGCATGGAAATACAAAATATCACTGGTTCATCAAACAGTGGTTTATACTGGGTCAAGAATGAAATTAGCGGGAAGGTAGAAAGGATACGTTGCAATGGTGGGATTCCAGGTGTTAACTTGATTTTAAAAAATTGTTTTTATGTGATTACATGAGCTTTAAGCGAATTGAAGCAGAAAGCTGAATTTAAAGGGCTAATTGGACGAAAATTGCGAAACATTGGTCTAATAATCATGAAGCAACAGATTTTAAGAAGATATTGATACAAATCTTTAATAATTTTGGCAAAAAAGTAGATGACGTCATTTACTCCATCCTTTTGTTCTTCCATCTTTTGAATCAAAATTTCTCTGATGTGGGACAATTTCAAAACAAATATTTTCCCGCAATTGTTTTTAATAGATATATGTGAGTCATATATTTGCATTGCTTTAAGTTTTGAAATAAGGCCATTTTCATGCAAGTAGCACTTAAATGGAAGGCCATTTTTGCATTTTTCTTTGAAAAAATAAAAGACGTTTTGCCATTTTTACAAAGTAAGTCAGTATAAAACACAGCTTTTTGTGAGATTTTCTAAGCGAGTAAAATTGCGAGGAATATATACAACTCCCATCGCGCTATGCTCCTTACAAAATGGCGTCGATGCACATTGACAATGATTTCTTTCATATGACCAGTCGTGATGTTACCGTTTCTAAGTCACGTTCTTTTGGTATATTTGTTTTCAGATTACTGCAGTTCCAACTCATGTGCAAATGGAGGAACTTGCGTCAGTGGAGCCAGTGATTTTAGTTGTACATGTCCAGCGGGATTCGAAGGGAAAACATGCGCTACTATCAAAAGTATGTAGTTATTTGTTCAAGAAATGTCTGTTTTTGAAAGCGTGCACAGAGAGATTAAAAGAGTGGTTTATCGTCGGGTAGTGCTTTATTGTTGTGAAACCTCATATCAATTGATCGTTTCCACCCATTCCCATGAGATTCAAAAGATAAAAGACCAACGGCCATGTTGGAGGAATGAACAATAGAAACTAATGAGAAATTCTTTTTTTTTTCTAAGTTCCTCCAAGATGCCCGATGTGACGTAACCTGATAACCAAGAATATAGTTCTACGGATTTAATGTCACACTTGCATTCAACAACCTTTTTGCGCTTTTCTTTGCAAACAGAGCGCGTTGATATTTTTGATCTCTTAGATTCCCAGTGGCAAGAATACAGTCCTTAYTGGTGCACTAGTAGCTATCGCAGTGGAAGGCAGGACGGCTTGACAAAAGATCAGTGCAAGGCCAAATGTACAGGGAGCTGTAAGGGTATGGAATGGTGGGAAAAGAATGGAGCGTGCTTTTTTTGCAGCGATCCATCGAAAAGACAATCGTTTACTAATACAAAGGATAGCGCCTACCCTCCTTATGTGTTGGTTGCATCTTAAAGATGAAAGTCCTCAACTTTGTACGTTGAACCTTCACCATCTTGAGTAAACGTTTCATAGTTTTGCATCGAAGTAGTCTGGAAAAAGTGATCAATTTCCATAGTATGTGAAAAATCATGGAATTGTCGATTTACAGTGAATTTTACACACAATGTAAATTTATTAATTAACACAGATCAAGGGAAAATTAAATCATGTCAATAACGAARCCCTGTAAATGCGGAACAATCGTGTAAATATAAATTTACGGCATCTTTACATGATTTTTACATACTATGGAAATTGATCWCTTCTTCCATKAGACGACCTGTAAGCCTGCAGTGATAAAAAACTTCTTTCACTGCTGTGGGCATGCTCAGTGGTCGTCTCACTTTGATGCAAAGTTACCTTTCAAGATGGCGCAGGAATGTGTGCAGGGTAAAAAAAAAATGTTATTTACACCGACGGATAATTCACCTTTCTTTATCAGATAATTTTATTGTTTTTTATAGTTTGAAAACAGTCTCAAAACATTCGTCGGATGATGTTTATATATCTCATTCTATATCATCAAGTGGAGTCCACAAAGCTATGTTGTCTGTACTAAAACATCTCTTGGTACACTGGACATCCGTATTAATTTAAAAAATGTATTTTTGATATTAGGTTTAAGTTGAAGTACAAATGAAACCTTTTAGAAAATCATTTAAAAAAGGCAAATATGATGCTAATCATTGTCTTGAAGAAAAAAAAAGTTGTTTGAGTTCTATTTTCTGAGTTAAAAGCATTTGAAAATTGAAAATGCTAATGAAATGACGTCAATCAAGGAATTGGGAGGTTTTTCATTGTTTGCGATATCTTTGTGTTCGGTTGAAATGGTCAAATCATCAATAACAGTGACATTCAAGAACTGGAAATGCCATCTCCGATATAAAAAAAGAATAATTTTTTTTCGTKATTTTGCATATTAAATCATTCCTTAGTGGATGTCACTTAATTTCCATTTCCGATCCAAATATTTCTAAATCAGAAGATATAGATTTGAATGTTTTTTCCCTTAGCAGAAGTGCTTAGCAGCATGTTATCCTTCGAATAAAATGATTTTCTAGAAGGATTCAATTGCACTTTAAAAACGATGGTTATTCAGACTTTTCGGTAAACACTATGACATTCCTCACATTTTGAACTTAAAGCTAGTGTCAAAAATACATGTTTTAAGTATTATAGACCCCYCAAGCTGCAAATATAATATATCTAATTAGCGTCCGTAATATATTGGTAATAAGTTTTGTTACCAAGGCAAACTTGTTATATTTACTTTCATCGTTTTTAACATCCAACTTGAATTGTAATTCGCCTTTCAATGTGTCTTCAGTGCCGTTATCTTCAGCCTCGGGCATTGGAAGTGGAGGCGGAGGAGGCGGTGAAGGAGGCGGAGAACAAGAAGGAGAACAATCAACGTTTAATTAAATAGTTGACGGGATCTTGATMATTAAGTTCGTACARTACATTGGTATCAAAAACCGCATCCCATAATTGCTTTATATTTGCTCGCACCGGGAAATGATCCATTTATAATTTGTGTTTAAGGTACAAGTTATACTGTACTGTTTGTTTGGGAGTGAGGGAGAWTAAGGTCCTACCTGACTTCTTCGCGCGTGCATGTTAAACAGAAAATAAACTCATAAAACGCTCAGCAGGAAAGCTGATCTTTGTGTGTTGCATTAATGAATAATTAAAAGCAGCTGGATTTACTAGTTCAGTTTAATAACTGCTTTTGTCAGTGAGGACCCAACAYAGCAGTAAARACGTCTTGGCAACGTACTGTATCTTMAAAATAGACCTTCAATCTTCACGCTTTTCTAAGTCACATTCAGAGGCAAAACCTGCTCTATAACACTATGTTMTTGTTAAGAACATAGATGAATGTAAATTTTCCTTGAAACAATTTCATTCGCTGCGCAATTTAAACAAGAATTGATTGAAGACTTCTTCGCATTTGGTAGTCTACTTCTTCTAATGATGCAAACAGGATCCATTTTCCACGCTGCTACCTTGTTTTCGCTTTTGTCTCTTCTTAAAGCCAACAAATGTCACGTTTCTATCAGCAATGTTGCTCTGAATGGGCATGTGTTCGCTTCGCTTCATGCAGACAACATGCATGTTTGTTATGAAAGATGTCAGGAGAAGATTGGCTGCTTGAGTATTAACTATTACAGGGACAGCTTTACATGCGAGCTCAATAACCGGACAATAGCAGTGAAGTCAAGAATGAAGGAGGTCAACTTTAATGCAGTTTACTTTGAGCGTATAAAACCAGGTGGGGTAGACATTTTGATAAAGCTTCCTGCACACTATATTGTTTTTTTTTTGTTTTGTTTTGTTTTGTAGCTACAATGTAGTGTCTTGCTCTTCTAAATATGTATGTGATTGAATTGATAAGGTCTCAGAGGAGAAAACCAGCTAGTTTTTTTAAAGAGAAACTATTAAGGAAATTATGCGCGCAAAAGTAGCTAAGCGAAAACGGATTAGCATTCAGTAGCGATGCCTTGTTGTCATACAGTGGTTCAATGTAATTATTGACATATTTTCAGACTTATAAACTGGTTTCATATTTCTTGATAGAATTTTCTATTTTTCCTTTTTGATTTATATCTAGATTGTTTACAACAATATACAATCTTTTTTTGCTTAATTTTTCAAGTATATATAAAATCTATCAGAAATTATGGGATATCATCGCTGATAATTTTTTTCAGAAAGTACTAGTGCCAGGCAAATTCAAAAAAATATTGGCGATGATATATCCATAATTTATTATATTACATAATATATATATACTTGGAATATGAGTCAAAATGATCATAATTTCAGCATATTGCTGTATACTAAAAATAGAAATTACATAATTATTTAGAAAATAACGATAGAAAAGTGTTTTATTCATTGYGTCAGATGAAATTCTTAATTAAAATAAGACACAATAGTTTTCCTGTCCGAAATGAAAATTGCCAACTGACAAATTTGAACGAATTATATTTGAACAATGTAATTCTTAATTTTGAAAATGGTGTAGCACTTTACGAGAATACAAACTTTGCCTTAGCTTCAAAAACTCYTTTACTCTCTTCCTCTTKCAAGTTAAGAAGCGAAGCATCTTATTACAGACGAGAATAAASAGCAGCGAAAACAAACAGCGAATCTTTAYCGAACTGARAACCGCACATATGACACATATAAAAATTCACCTTCAAAACAAAGCTAAAYAAAATATTATARYATTAAAATGTTTGAGAACTAAAAATATCGTAGGGTTGACTACAATTTTTAATGAATTTAAACCATAACATTTCCAAGCTTGAAAAGCTGTAAAACTGAAATTGCGATATAATAAMGAARCGTTAATTTGCTCGTTATTAATTTGCAAGTCAGTTATAATGAGAAAACATTGGCAGCTGAAAAACTCACTTTTGGACAATACTGATTGAATTTGGTTTCTGACAAAAATTAGATGAGATTATAGTTAACGCTATTTCTATAACTAAAGAGTCCCATGAAGTGGCCAACAATGAAATATAAAACCTTGAGACGTCAAAATTTTAATATGGTGGGAACTAGCGGTAAACTAGTGTGAGCTGCGTCGGTGTTTCTAAAGAAACAGTTATGTAAAAAGATAAAATAGTTAAAATTTAACACCGTAAAAAAGTATGTGGAAAAACTTACTGAAAATTTTAATTGTTWCGCGGTGTAATCCATATCAATTGTAAAAAAGAAAGATCTAATAATAAAAAACGGAAAGAGCTGAAGAAAAATTAGCACAAGAACTTATTATTGAAGAAAGCAAAGAAGGAAGCGATACAAATGAGAGAAAGAGACAAAAACAGCAAAAAATACACGCTGAGCGGAACAAATTATAGCGGAAAACGTGAAAACGAGAGAAAATTAAGAAAAATAAACTGAGTTTGATGGAGTTAGTTATTACAAAACGAGTAATCTCGTCGATTATTGTCAGGTGTGAGCGGATATGAAATTGATATCCCGTTCTATCATGATAATTGTCATTGAGAAACTGACAGCGAGAAAATTTTAATTAAATATTCATRACTGTAATTTTTTGCTCTGGGTGTTTATTCTAGAGATTGTCGGACTTTTTTAGGTAATTAGCTAAGATAGGTAATTATAGGGCCAAAGGCAATCGTAAGTTTTATATTACAGAGCCACAATGTTTAGACGTTGCAAAACAGGTGCAAAAGACTCGTATTACGGCAAGTTCATTTGCTATAAACAACGTTTCATTTCTATTTTCCCTTATAATGTTCCGTTATTGCAGTACTCTTCGCTATCAAGGGAAAAAGACGCTACGAAAAGAGTGGATGTATTAAATTCGCGAAACAAATTTTACTCATTTAACAAATATTACTCATTACTATTCAAATGGGTGTTGATTAAATATTAATTTAGTCAGGCTCTTTTGTATAATTTTAAAACATCTTTTCTAGCTGCAATTGGCTCACAAGAGGAAATCCCCGCAGAATCCTGCATGGAAATCAAAATAACCCAACACCCATCTATCAGCGGTTTCTATTGGGTTAAGCATGCTCAACAAACAGCAAAGATATATTGCAACATGACCACTGGAGGTAACTTTCAAACGAGTTTGTCACCGGTTTTAAATACTTGTTTAACCAGTTTGCGTTTCCTGTTTTCAGCTTCAGAGCCATGCATCAGTTCGAAGTGTCAAAATCAAGGGAAATGCAATAAAGTGAATRAAATTAGCTACAAYTGCACATGCGTCTCGCCATTTTATGGGAAAAACTGCGAGAATAAACTAATCGGTATGTTGATCATATAAAACAATCTCACMCTCGGAAGGGTGGTAGTTAGGGGGGTGCTTGTAGTGTGCAGGTGCACCTCCCCCTGAGAAAAACATGGCAGAGCATAGCAGAACAAATCAGAACAAAGTAGTGCAAAGCAGASCTTTGTTCCATTTTTTGATATTCATTAATGTTTATCACTACATTTATTCATCCTTCAAAAACTCATACATAATTAATGAGTTATTAGGCCAATAGAATGAGCCTTTTTGGTCACATGCATGGATCTTTATTCCTGATAAAACACTCCTTAAGGCTGATTTACACGGCACGATTGTCTCGTGCGATTTGTAGTATACGACTTGAATCGTGCAGTGTAAATGCCCCTACGACTTGTCTACAACAGTCGTACGCAACCTACGGCTTGTAGTAGGGTTTTGAACCACTGCTTAAAATCCTACGACTTGTATTAGGAAAATCGTATACTACAAGTCCCTCGCGACAAATCGTAGCGTGTAAATCAGCCTTTAGAAATACTAATTCGGCTCGAATCTTTATACATTGGAGAAAATCTCGAACGTTTAAGGTTGTAAATTTGGTGTAGATTCATTCATTAGTGCATTTCATCCATCTTTTTATCTATCTCTTTCATTTCTATATTCACCACTTAGTTCTCATTCACTTTTCTGCAACTCAATAATGTCTCTTTTTAGACTATTGCAGTCCTCCACCGTGTGTCAATGGCGGGACATGTGTCAACGGGCAAAGTACATTTAGTTGTACATGCAAGGTGGGATTCACAGGGAAGACATGCTCAACTGTAAACGGTATGCGAGTAATTCTTTAAAAATTCTATAAGAAATATAGTATAAGAAATACGACTTTATAGAATAGAAACAATAGCGTCCATGTTGTTACGCAACATCTTGCTCAATTTTGAAAACGATGTTTCTTCATCAAAAAGGCATTCTTCCAACTTGCAACACAGCAAACAAATTTTTTTTAAGTTGGATACACTTTCTTGGAAAGTATTTGCCTCGCGGAGAAGTGCATGAAATATCCCCGACTGTTGTCGTTTCTGCTAAAAACTAGCTGTCGTAAAGTTGTCAGATGGATAATGATGATGATGATGATGATGATGATGATGACAGATGATGATGATGATGATGATGGAATGTCAACCAGTCTTTTTTTAAAAGAAAAAAGAAAAAAAATTAAAATTAAAATTAAAATTAAAATTAATTAAAATTTTCTCCAGACGCAGCATGTTCATCCTACACGACCATAACCGATTCTACTCGTCTAATGACTTCCGGTATTTCTGCAAAAAAATGCGACAATAATATCGCTATAAAATGGTACAGATTTTCAGGGGGGGCAGGAGTCCGTATGCCCACATCGTGTGTACCAAAGAGTCGCTGCAACACGGACGCCACTGGATGGTTGAGCCAGCCACACCCAAGCGTAGAACAGGGAATAGTATCCAAGAAAGTGTGTTTTAACTGGAGTTCTAACTGTTGTAGCTGGAACAAGTATATCCGAGTACGAAACTGTGGCAGTTTTTACGTGTACGAGTTTAAGCCACCGCCAGCATGCASTTTGCGTTATTGTAGCACAAATTAAATAAAAACATTCTACTTTTTTTTTATTCCTTCAAACTGTAATTTTCAAGCTCACTTTGAAACGTTGAAATGTGGCCAATCTCACCCTCTCGCATCGAAGTTAGATAGTAATAGAGCGCAAAAACTAAAACTGTAATTGTACATGAAAAGATAGACGTGAATTTTTAAGTCATATTTGTCCTTTGCGTGGTTCTTTCTACGTTGTGAAAATGTTTTAAAAGCATTATTGATATCATAACGAAACYATTTATAAAAGTTTGCATTACTTGTTGTATAAAACAAAAAGAAGCAAAAAGTAATAAAAAAGKTCTTCAGGAATATAGTATTTGTGCATTATTTTTGGTAACAAGTGTTAAAATGTTTCCCAGTTTGTTGGGTTACCTGTGGTAAAAGTTAGCGACAGCAGTACTTCTTGGTCAGTGGTTAACAKTCTAAATTCAAAATGGCGGTCAGTATTTGCACATGTAGACCTCAAATTCGACAGATTTCTCGACTTGTAGCGYCTTATTTTATCACAAAAAGGACATTTGTATCTCGGCGAAATGCTGAAGCATTTGAAGAGCAAAGAAAACARGAGGATAATGTTTATTTGTTGAATAACCGTCCGCCTCCGACACACACGTTGAAAGAAACTCTCGAGGTTTTRCGMGCGTATGCCATTAGTAAYCTAGAYGAAACMGTTGARCTACATTTGAAGATTAATATGGGAGAGAAGAAGGTAACAGGAATTCTATTAGATAATTGCTATAAGTGTAAAACTTTCGATTACGTCTGATTGKATGTTGGGCTGCCTRTGYCAATTAATAAATAGTAATTGTTATTGATATCAGAATAAATTACAAGCATTTCGTGGTGTTGTGTTGCTGCCCAAACCATACGGACTGCTGAAAACTGTCTTGGTGTTTGCTGAGGTATAGCCTTTTGTCTTTGAAAGATACTTWTGAGCTTAAATTTTCTTCTTGTTTTTCTTAAATTTGTATCAGTAAAATTGATGTTGTAAATCATGGTAATGTTTATTATTGAAGGGTGAATTAGCARAGGCTGCCAAGAACGCTGGTGCTGATATAGTTGGTGGACAAGAATTATTTGAACAAGTAAGAGCAAAAAGCAAAYTTCTGTTTGCAATCACCTGTAGATTTCTTTTTCTTGGGCTTCCTTTGGTCATCAATTTTGTTTTTCGAAAAGTCTCTAATTAAATAAGTAATCCATATTATATCTTTTGTCTATATTAGGTTAAAGAGGGATCTCTAAAATTTGACCAATGTATCTCTACAATGGATATGCTTGATAGTGTAAAATCCCTTCAAAGAATACTCAGACAGAAGATGCCGACAACRAGAAGAGGTATTTAAATCTTTAAATCAAAAAAACTTAGTAACTTATGATACTAAATCTATAATATGCATGAAAGGGAAACCTTTTGACTTTCAAAACAGTGGTGGATCCAGGGGGGGTTCCATGGGTTCCTAGGAACCCCCCTCAAGCATAAGAAAAATAAAAAATACAATTAATGATAAATAAAATAAAATAAAATGAAAGCACATTGTAGAATGAATCTTTATTAAATACATTCACACTACATTTGCTACAATTCGAGAGCCACAGTAAAAAAGTTCATTTTAGAAAAATGCGATTTTAAACAAATTGTGGAACCCCCCTTTGAAAAATCCTGGATCTGCCACTGCAAAATAATTATCATTGTACAAACTAAGCTGTTTATTTAGCCTGACAGCTCACACTGTCAATCTCAAAGGTGTCAGAACTTACCTTGTCACTTCCCAGACCATGATTGCACAAAAAAGTAATTAAATGCAAGGTGTCTAGATGGTGCTTTGTTATTATAATCATGATTGATTAATCTTTGAATTCTCCTTGTCTTCAGGTACTGCTACAGATGACATTGTCCCAGCAATAAAGACATACAAACAAGCTCATCCATACAGATGTGATAAATATGGTTTTATAAATGTTGGYATYGCAAAGGTAAATACRTTTTGTRCTTGTTACAGCAGAAACCSTTGCATTGCAACTTCAATGTACAAAGGAAATCTTTGGRATTTAGKTTTTTCTGCAACTTGGGRGCRGGGCTCGATRCAAATCAGTCAATGACTGAACRAGTTTACAAAAAGCTCTGCCCSTCAGATCGAAGGAAAGAACAAAATCAAGACAAACTTCAAGACAAAGAAGTCGCGACCAAACGATTTCCGCTGTAAAAACACTACCAGAAAATTGAATTAATTTTTTTTATTTTCAGCTTAGCTTTGATGACCAGGATATAAAAAACAATGCATCAGCTGTAATACAAGCAGTACATAGTCACAAAACAACTAGCAAAGGTATGTTAAGGTCTTCTTCACACTACATTGAAAGCCTTGTATAAAAAGAGCAAGTAAACCAATCTTTTGCAGACTACAGTAGTTGTAGTACATGTGTTTTTCATGTTTTTTTTTTATTTTTAGGAAAATTMATAACAAAACTCATGATGTCATCCACACATGGACCTGGCGTAAATCTTCATCTCAAAGAACTTGTTCCATGAAACACTGGTATACTTCAGTCATTATCATAATGGGCTTCCTGTGTATAGATTCAACACAGGGAGCCCATGTGCCTTTACTATACTTGCATGTATGATATTATTGGACAACAGGATTTCTAGTAACTCAGAACATGTAGGAATATTTTTAGTTGTTTTATTAAAACTTCGGAAAATATACTACTATGAAATTGCTTAATCATTGATTGGCTTCAGAAGACAAATGTCAACAGGAAAATGAAATAAGTTTGAAACATAAAAAAATAATATTTTTACCAGGCACAGAATAGGATTGAACTTTTGTTAAGTTGTCAACAGAAACACTTGATGCTCTTAATATTTAAAATTAAAATCTACTATACGATTGTTTAAAAGATTGCGATGATGATGCTATTTATTTTGTGGCACAAGATTTGATTTGAAACTCAATCTGAGAGATGCTTCTGTTTGGTACTCGTCATAATAAAACACACTGTCATGGTTATGTTTTCACAATTTTTATTGTGAATACAAATATTTTTTTAACAACTGCACAATAATTACATTAAATACACATACATTATATAACTTGTAAGTTATATCTGACATGCATCAAAAAAGACATTCGTCAAAAAAAATACTGAAGTCCATTTTTTTGTTTATTTTCTTAAATGATTTTATGATTTTTTTGGAGAAACATTTTTTCAAAGCTTTTTTTGATTGGACTTCTAATTTTTTTTTGTTATTTTTGTCATTAATTTTTATATATTTTTTTGGTATTTATTATTAGTTTTTGTTACAAATCAGATGTCACCATGAAACCTGCAAAGAAAAAACATTTGTCAAAAATTATGGCCTCTTTGTAATAATACAATTATTTTTGATTATCAGCAGTTTTTCATGCAGCGTTATTYTGTATTTACAACATTGYAAAGYCRTCTGTCTATTRGGTATGRCTGACTATGGCATGCATCATACATTACTATCATCAACATCTTAAAATGTATTACCTGTCCTTGGTGAATCTGATGTTTAGCACCTCATCTCTTCRTYTACATCTCAAGGTCACCATGGTGACCTTGAGGAGCCTGGCTGACTTCATCAGGTATAGCCTGCCCATCATCCAGTGCCMTGTTGTCTTKKCYCTYRCTGGCATTGCTATTTAGCCTGTCAGAACCTTTGATTTGTGATCTTACTTTGAGTTGAAGATCCATGATCGCYTTCTTCAATTGGCTACCTTGATCACCAGGCTCTTTTTTCACTTTCTCCCTCTTCTTTTGGGCAAGTTTCTGCACCAACATATTSTTGTATTCATTTGTTGCATTCAGCCTTTGCTGAAGAGTTTCAGCCATAATTTTCTTGTCCGTAAGCGTGACCATCAAGGCATTCAATTTACTCCTCATTTCATGGTTCTTTTGTACCAATTGGAGGCCTATCTGATCTTTTTGGTCAAGCTGCTTTTTTAAGTTGGCATTGTTTTCCTCCAAGGATTTGTRTTTCCTTTCCGTATACTCAAGGGACATTCTAGAATCTTCTARAAGAAATTCAAGGTGCTGCAATTTATTTTSTAGATCATTCTCATCTGTTTTGYGTCTTTCATAGGACTCCAGTCTTTCTMTGGCATYTTGTTCAGTTTTTTTGGCTTTTGCAAGAAGTGCTTCCAGATCAGCTATTTGATTCATAAGATTGGATTGTTGTGTATCTCTGGCTTGTTGTTGAGTTCTTTTAGTATCAGCTAAAAGTTCTTCCAGATCAGTTATTCGCTTCATRTGRTATTGTTCTTTCTTACCARAATCTTGYTTAGCTCTTTCTGCATTATTTAGATCCTCTTCCAGCTCAGCTATCCTTTTCATCAATTTAGTCTTCTCAATGTTGGTATCTTTCTCCATTTCTTCTCTTTGGGTTTTCATTGACACTATCTCAAGGTGGAGATTTTGCTSTGAGGTTCTGGCTTCATCCAGGGATCTTTGAAGGCCAAACAACTGACCAATGAATTCCTGTTGYTGTGCTGCAAATTTCTCAATTGTTTCAAATTTATTACAGAGTTTTTGGTTTAGCTCRTCATTTTTRTCAGTCARKCTTTTGATTKTTGAATGGAGWTCTTGCTCAGAACTTCTGGYATCCTTGAGTTGGATTTTGCACTCSTCTAGTGTCTTGAGTAAGTCATCCACCTCTGTTGTTGACTTTGAGAGTTTTTGAGTTAACTCATCATTCTTGACACATAGACTTGTGATKGCTGAATGGAGCTCTTGCTCAGAAAGTCTGGAATCTTTGAGTTGGATTTCAGTTAACTCTAGTGTCTTGAGTAAATCACTCTTTTCTGTTGTAAACTGAAGGAGGTTTTGGGTTAACTCATCATTCTTGTCACTAAGGCTTGTGATTGTTGAATGGAGGTCTTGCTCAGATGTTCTGGAATCTTTGAGTTGGATTTTGCAGTCTTCTAGTGTCTTGAGTAAGTCATCCATATTTGTTGTAAACTCTAAGAGGTTTTGGTTTAACTCRYCATTCTTGTCRCTAAGGCTTGTGACTGTCAAATGGAGCTCTTGCTCAGATGTTCTGGTATCTTTGAGTTGGATTCTGCACTCCTCTAGTGTCTTGAGTAAGGTATCCCTCTCGGTTGTAATCTGTAGAAGGTTTTGCTTCAACTCTGCATTCTTGTCATTCAGACTCTTGATTGTTGAATGGAGCTCTTGCTCAGAAAGTCTGGAATCTTTGAGTTTGATTTCATTCAACCCTAGTGTCTTGAGTAAGTCATTCCTTTCAGTTGCAAAGTTGAGGATGTTTTGGTTTAGCTCATCATTCTTGTCATTTAGGTTCTTGATTGTTGAATGGAGCTCTTGCTCAGAACTGCTGGAATCTTTGAGTTGGATTTTGAGATCCTCTAGTGTGTTGAGTAAGTCATC